TTGATTTTCAGGATACTAATACTTATGTAATCATGTTTGGAAACAGATTTAGTATTTCTGTCAGGGAATTTTGGAGGTCCTCATGCTGTATGAATATATAAATATACAGATGTATATAAAGTGAATGTAGTGGTGTTTTCAGTACTGCCAACAGCAGTGACTTGCAAAACTTCATTTTGTAGTTTTGGAATTAGATCATACTTCATACTTCTAAGTCTTCCTTTTTTTTTTCTTTTTTTTTTTTTAGGTAAAAGTTTTGTTTGTACGCAATCTTGCCAATACTGTAACAGAGGAGATACTAGAAAAGGCCTTCAGTCAATTTGGAAAGCTAGAGCGAGTGAAGAAGCTAAAAGACTATGCTTTCATTCATTTTGATGAACGGGATGGTGCTGTAAAGGTAAGTGAAGGGAACTGTAACTGTGTGTCTCTGTATGTGTAAGGAGTGACTAAACATAACATTTAGAAGCTGTATACTTTTAACTTGAGAAACAGCTCTGTCTGGAGAAATGGTTACAGATTGTCACTGATAACTTTGTCCTTTTTGGGCGTCTCCTAGGAAGATGCAGTTGCTAGCTTGAAAAGTGGATCTTTTCAAGATGCATCTATACTAAATAATTCTGCAGATGAGTCTGTAACATAATACTTTGTGTTATCATTTCAAACTGAAGTGCTAAGAAGTTGAATGACTTCTCATGAAATTATTGATAGAATCTAAAGCAGTTTCTCTAGAGCAGGTAATAAAAACTTAGGTAATCTTTTTATTTTCCAGGAGCAGAATTACTTCCTTTTAGGGTGTGGAATAAGCACCTTTTTCTTTTTGGTGAGAGGTGCTGGACAATTGTCATTCCTGGATTTTGTTAGCCTGGTCTTGGTGTTTTTAGCCATGTCACCTGTCATTAGGAAAGTGTAATTCCTCTCCTGCCTATAGTGTATCTGTTTTTTTTTATGTTCTGTGGGAGGATGCAGGATACAAGGGGATCCAGTTTTTCTTACTCATCCAGATGCCTTAAAGCAGATGCTTAGGAAGGTGATGGAAAGATTCTTTTCATAGGTTACATACCCCATCACGGCTTAGCTATGTAGAGTCCCTAAAAGTGGTAGAATCTTTAGGCTTCCTCTGCTTGAATTTAGCTTGTAGCAGTTATTGTGACCCATGGGAATTGTACATGTGTGTGTTGGTGGGGTTTTTGGTTTGTTTATTTTTGGTTGGTTGGTTTTTGTTGGCATTTTGTTTTGGGATTCTTTTGTGGTCAGAGTGAGACTGTTAAATTCTAATTTTTGGCTTCTGGTTTAAAAAGAAAGTTACATTAATAACAAGTAAATTAAAGGAATAAAAACATATACTGATCTGTAGCTTTATTAGTGTTTGCATGTGTGTGCTGACGTTAGAATTTATTCCCATATTGCAAAAGACGTACTTTCAGAGGACAGTTCTGTCACCTTATAAATTGAAACAGCTTGCAAAGATTGAAGCCTGTTTACAGTTTTGAGTGGAAGATTTCTAAACTGATACATGCAGTCCTGGGTTTGAGAGCCAAGTTAAGAGGAAAAGTGTAACTCTGGAACCCATGATACTATGCTGTTTGAGTATTAAAAAATTTTTTTTTTTAGTTTCATATTGTTGTTTTTAGCTCTGGATAACAACTTTTATAATGCATACTCTGTAAGATAGAATAAAATTAATAACTTCAAATATGCTTAGAAGTATATTTAAAGTCTGGTTAATTCCTTCAGGCAATGGAAGAAATGAATGGCAAAGATTTAGAGGGAGAAAACATTGAAATTGTTTTTGCTAAGCCACCAGATCAAAAAAGGAAAGAACGGAAAGCTCAGAGACAAGCGGCTAAAAATCAGATGTAAGTGTAAATGCATGCACATATGTTGTATTGCTTCTGAAAGACATGTACAGTCCTACAGAACTAGAACTTCTGGGTATTTCAGTAGGTGTGCTATAGCGTATACAGGTTTTCTGGCTTCTTTGAAAACGTTGGATGATTCCTTCAGGTTGTTTGCATTTTACTTAAGATCTCATAGTGGTGTTGGTGAGAATTCAGGTACTTTTCTGCTCTGCTCATTGAGTGTGAGAGCACCGGAGGAAACATTTGAAGGTCATGAAATGTACACACTTCTCACTTTTTATTCTAAACTTTCGTGTGCTTCTGCATTCATGTCGTGTGGATGAACTTAGCAACATGTGCTCCTTTCATCAGGCTTAGCAGTACTGATACAGGCCCCCGTTTAGTAAAGTACCCACTGAAAGGATGATTCTAACACACTTTTTTGCCAGTTCCAGAAGGTAGATCTGCTCATGAAGCTTAGAAACTCATACTAACAGAGATCTTGCACTAATAAAAGCTGAACATGACAAAAAAAAAAGACATTTCTTGCCAGTGTGTTCTGCTTAATGTTCGCATGTGTTTTTCTTCTTGGATATCTTTTAGCTTTCCTAAACATCTTCCCTCCCCCACCTTATTTCCAAAAATAACTTCTGCTAGTGCTG